GAGCTATTTATACCTGCACAACTGAGACGAAGAAATCATCGAAGAACACACAAAGAAAACAACAACCATAACACCACACAACCAAGCAAAAAACAACGTTCAAAGGGGAAAATTCAAAATAAACTCGAAGTTATCATCGGTCAAGCGTCGAAAGAAGAACGGTCACTGGGAGAACGAGAAGTTTGGCTAAAAAAGGTAAAACCTGAGAGTTTTACTTTTAGATCTACGTCGTTGTGGTTGTTTTTAGGCCAATCGAGGGGAATATTTGGGGGTAGTTTTAAATTTTTCGGCCATCGGAGGCGGTGGCCGGAGCGATGGTGAGCGGCGGTCGGTGGGCACCGGACGGTGGCTAGCCATCAGAGCCGGTTGAGAGGGGAGAGTGTTTGGAGAGGTTGAGAGAGTTTTTTTTAAAAAAAATGGGTTGAAAGTGTTATTTTTTTTTGTTTTAGGGGTATTTATAGCAGAGGGACTAGGTTGTAATTAGGAGATTTTTAAATTATTTTTATAGTCCCTGCATTTTTTAAGTGTAATTCATTTTGGTCACCTATTACAATTTTGCCTATGAATCTTCAATTAATTCGATTTGGTCCCTATCTATAATTTACATTTTTGCGATTTAACCCCTCTAGCTCTTTATTTTTCTTGCATCTTATTTTTTAGCATCAATTTGATCCATGAATTTCAATTTATTCGAATTTAGTCCTTTAAGGTTTTATATACTTTTTTCTTTTTATTCTGTTTTTATTTACTTCCAAAATTTAACCTTTTTTATTTTATTTTTTTCTTTTTTAAAAAAATTAACATTTATTTATTTATTTCCTTTTAAATATAAATTTTTTAAATTCTTTTTAACATTTTATTATTATTATTATTTCTTTTGTTTATGTCATTTTATATAATATTTTATTTTACCATCTAACATCTTATTGACTTTTTCAGTAGTAATTTCAATCGATCAATGGTAAGCAATTCGAATCAAATTTTTAAATTTGGATTTAAATTTTAATTTTTGCAATTAAGACAACCACGAAATTAAAATGGTACCGAAAGGGCAGTTCAAGGATGTTAAATCCTTCCTTAACTTTAACCGACTCCCGAGCCCGACATATTTTTGGTAAGACGCAGATCAGGTAAGATGGTGTCTGATCAACCTAAATATTTTTTAAAATGATCGGTGATGGCTCGAAAGTGTTTTATTTAAGTCAAAGCTCAATTACGGACCCATCCGAAGGACTGTTACGACAATATGCAAGGAAAAAAAACACTTTTATTTAATTTTATATACTTAACACATAAAATTTTATACATGTAAAATATATTTTTTCAAAATTATAATTTTCAAAATAAGTTATGATTTGTTTTTATATTTTTTAAAAAATAATTGTTTATTTTATAAAATTATTATTCAAAACTATTAGTAAAATATCAAAATAAGATTTTAATTATAATCGAATGATTAACTTAAATATTAACTAATTACGCCATACCTATTTTATAATAAAACTAATAATTTAATATATTTATTTTTTAAATTTCTAAAAATCAAATGTCAAAACAATTTATTTTAAAATAATATAATCTATCTATAGACGTCACTTTCCAAAGATTATTTATTCCACCGAAAAAGAGAGAGAAAACGATGGAACTTTTTATTATGATAAAAAGAATACGCTCTGCAACTATGGATAGAATGCTAAATAATAATATAGGTTAAAAACTGATAAAATAAATCTTAAATCTTCTTTTCTTATCTTTTATATTTCATTGTTAATCTTTTTTCAAGGTTTAAATCCAATCTTTATCGTTCTAAAATTGATTTGATTTTGATTTTTATTAGGGCGATTTTATGCAGATAATCTTCATTAATTTTCCATTCGAGAAGTTGTAATTCCAAAAAAAAACTACAAGATATAAAAAATCATCAATTTTCGCTGGAAAAACAATCACCTTCCTCAATTCTAATAACAAAAATGATAATTAATTCTTCATCTCTATTCTTGAAAAGGCACACTCTTCAACACTTATCACGTGCCCACAGAAAAACAAAACCGATACCCCGTAAATCTATTTTCATTAAACTACGAGCGCAAACTAAAATAAAGGTGTTATATCATTACCCATTAAATTTTAAGAAAATTCAGTATTTAGTATATAAATTATTAATTTTAATTTTTTTAATATTTAAATTTTTATTTTTTAAATTATATCTAACTTTTATTTTTTTTAATTTTAGTATTTCATTGTTAAAAATTTAATGGATGATTGCATGTGGGACATTTTTTATAGATAAATTACCTCATTCATCACTCAATTATATTTCCACTCCTATTTTGGTCACTAAAGTTTAATTGTTTTTAATTTTATTACTTAAGTTTCAAATTACTCCTAATTCAATCACTCTAACTATCAATTTTTTATTTTTAATTGTATATTGATATAATTATTTTATGTCACAAAAATTATTAATAAAATAAATTAGTGGTTAAAATAGGAGTAGTTTGAAAGTTGAGTAGTTAAATTAATTTGTTTAATTTTTGTATCAAAATAGTAGTACAAAGATAGTTGAGTGATGATTGATGTAATTTACCCATAAAAATATAGTACCGTTAAATTTTTAATGGTAAAGTACTAAAATAAACAAAAACTAAATGTTAGGTATGGTTTTGAAAAAATTGAAAGTTTAAATACTAAAATGAACTAAAACTGCTAGTTAGATACTAAACGCATAATTTACCCTAAATAAAGTTATATCGTTTTATACAATAAATTATAAAAAATTAAGGGTAAAGTATAGTAATGGTCAATGAACTTTTCTAAAGTTTTCATTTAGGTCCCCAACTTTTAAAACTTGCAATATAGTCCCCCAACATTTAGTCCGTTTGCAATATGGTCCCCCAACAGTTACGTCGGGGACCATATTGTAAATGTACTAAATGTTGGGGACCATATTACAAAAAACTAAATGTTAGGGGACTGTATTACAAGTTTTAAAAGTTAGGGGACCTAAATGAAAGCTTTAAAAAAGTTCAGTGACCATGACTATACTTTACCCTTAACTTAATCATAAAATATTAGTCTTTCAACTCATTAAAGGAATTTCCTAGTAAGAAAATGGTAACCTCACTCGCTATTTAAAGATATGCACCGACCAAAACTAAAAAAAATAATTAGTTTATTTTATTTATTAATTAATTTATGGGGGTATATTGTAGAATTACATTTATATCATGCTTAACACAAATGATCTTAACATTTTTTATTTTAAAAAAAGTAATAATAATCTCTATCAACATTTTTCTAGCAAATTAAATAAATAAATAATAAGCTTTTACCATGAATGAGATTTAAAAATAAAATATTCTTTTAATTAGTTAATCAAATAAATCAAGTGCATCTATTACTATTAATAATTAAAATATGAAATATTATATTTATATACCTCAAGAGAAATAAATGAGATTTTAATTTCTCCATGAAATAATCGGGAAGGCTACAGAATAGCTAATTAAACCCAAATCCAAAGCAGATTGGTCACATACAAATATCCCAAGCTTTAGTTATTTATTTGGCATTTCACATTGGAAGAATTTTGGTGACGATAGTTTTAGATATAGAAAATAAATAGGATGAATTACTTGAGGATTACTATTTTTTAAAACTTATAAATTAAAATTAGTAGGGATTCCGAAATATTTTGTAGGGTGAGTACATGTATGTTAATAACATAACATTTTTAAATAAGGTAGACACAAACAAATTTTCATGATAAACACTATATTATGTAAAGTTATTCTATGTTGTTGGTAATTGTGAATCTTTTTAAGTTAATATTGTAAAGAGATGTTGATGATTTTATCAAAGTAATAAATATCTATTAACGATTTTGATGGTCCTTGTTGGCCTGAACAAAACTTGGTTATTATAACAGTGATATATATAAAAATTATCTTTTAGGGTGATCACATATAGCACAAAATCTTTTATACGAGGTGGATACAAATAAAATTTTAGAATGAACACAATCAATCAAATGAGTAATTAATCGAGAAAATTCAAATCTCGAGATGGACACATGTATGTTCTAAAAACAAGTTAAATATGCCTTGATTACAAGTATCGACTCATTCTTCCTCTAAAGATGTAAGCTTAATCCAAAATGACAAAAATTTTAAAAGTATATCTTTTCTTATCTTTTTTGCCCGTCGATGGATTTTATTAATTTAGAAGTATATTGCTCTCTTCTGTGTGGGGTACACGTTCACCATCGGGATTCAAAAGGTTGTGCTCTAAGCATAAGTAACCCGAGAACTCGGATGATATAAGTTTCTCTCCCTCTCTTCTTTTTCGATTTAGATTTCCTTTTTTCTTTCCTTCTTTTAATTCTTTGTGAATCCGCTCTCTTCCGTTACAGATTTGGTTGGAGTGAAGTGATGATGGACGATGGAGCTCGTGGTGGCTATTAAGGTTGACTTGATTATTAGTTTTGGATATCCAAACTGATTAATTACATGTGTATAATTAATTATTCTAATCTTAATATAAAATAATTTAATCTTATTATTTAGTTAAAAATTAAAAAATGAAACAATTTTTTCGAGTATCTATCTTACCTGAAATTATGGCATGGGTTCGATAAGTGTACTTGTACTATTTTAAAATAATTTTTAAATTTCAGATGAAATTCAATATCTTCGAATATAATAAAAAGAGAAAAATTAACAAACGTTATATCATTAGAAAAGAAATAAAAAGATTATTTTCATATTAGCATTATAATAGTACATCATTAATTTAATAAAAATATCAATGACTAACGATTCAATGAAAAATATTAATTGGAAATTTTAATGGCAAAAGTAGAACTTTCTATAAATAAATGAATAAAACGAGATATATCCTAAAATTAAGGGATTAATATTATAGTTTGTCTAAATAAATTAATTTTGAACAAGAAATAAATTATTAAACGTTTGACCTTGTCTTTTGCCTTATAGTTATAAATCTATCTGAATCCTCCGTCTTTTTTCTAAAAAATTTATCCCTTTTGTTTTCACATTTAATATTTCCACCGCAAATCTAAAAAAAGTATCTCCACCATGCCGCCGCCGCCTCAATACTCATCTAGCGGTGGTTCACCACCCCCGCCGCCGCCGAAATCGAAGGAAAAGTTCCTGTCTCTGATACTGAAAGCCGTGATTATGATGCTCCTCATCTGTTTCTTTTTCCTCATCCTCCCTCTAGCCTCTTTTCTCCTCATCCTCCCTCTAGTCCTCCGTCACCGGCGTCACCGCCAACGCCGCCTTTCTCACCCCTCATCTGGGTTTTCAACAAAACAGCTTAAAAAGCTTCCCCAATTCAGATTCTCCCAGGAAACGAAATCTGCCCATTCGGAATCCGATTCGTGTGCTATTTGCTTGGATGGGTTCAGACAAGGGCAATGGTGCAGGAACCTGGTTGGGTGTGGCCACTTGTTTCATCGCAGGTGTTTGGATTCTTGGCTGATCAAAGTTACTTCCTGTCCGATCTGTAGAACAAGAGTTTGCCTGGAAAACGAAGATAGATGCATTCTAGATTCCGGTTCAACAAGAACAGACTTTCAGGGTTTGTTAGATTTGTAAGTCTTATATTTGTTTTAAGATTTTGATAGTCTGCACAAAATTTCATCTTTTTTTTTTTTGGTATCATAAATTGTATAGCTCCCTTTTTCTGAATAATCATTATGAAGATTCCTGCAATTTTGATTCACTTTGTACCGGCTCTTTAATTGCCCCTTAATAATTTAATTGCCTTTTATTCAAAGGTGATTCATAGAAGTAGAATTAATTTTGGGCATATTATTTTAGGTTTCATCCATTGCGTTTGGAACTGATTGTTCTTATTTCTGTCATCGAATGTGTAATTTTGGGATGGGGGATTTCTATAAGAAGTCCTCTGTTTTACTATGTTTATCAACTATGAGGATGTTTATGTTACCATTTCCTCCTGGAGATTTTATATTGGTGGCTTGTGGGTGCATTGAATCTGATTTCACCTATGTGATCACGGTAGTTAAGCTGTATGACATCCTAATAGTGTCAGGCTAAAGACACGGAAATAGATGCAATCGGAAATATGATAAGAGGGCGCAACTTAAAATTTATCTTTTTTATCATATTTTCGGTGGTTTATTTCAACTGTTTTTTAACCTTTAAATTAAATTATCATTATTAGTATTTACTTTTACATTTGTTTGACCTATGCGATTGATATAGATCGTGAACATTGTATAATTCTCCAAACTTACACAGACAAAAATGTGAAGGGAGACTAGGTAGGTACGATTTAGGTCGATTACAAGATAATATATATTAAAAAAAATTATTGAATATTTTTTTAATTGATTACAAGATAATATATGTTTAAGATTTTTTTTAATCATTGAGAAAGAACACACATTCTATACAAAAGCACACCATACAAAATAAAATATTCCAACCCAAAACTCTAAGAGAAAACAACGTTTGATTTTACCATTAGGTTGATGCTCATCTCACATAGCTGTCAATATTGTACGATGACAGTGGATGTTCTATTTAATGCCAGTACTATGCGTCCATCTCCTCAAGGAAACGAGAGCAAAATTGCCAATTTATGTGGTATGAAAACCAGCTTGAAATTGCGTTTGTCATTTGTGGCGATTTTCTCGATATATTACCGATGATCGGCCTTGCACCGCGTTATATGGTGAGTTGGTGTCATGTGGGTATAGCGCGGCCCCTGCAGCGCGTTATACGTCACGTAGGTGTATAGCGCAGATCAAGTACCGCGCTATACCTTTACTGCATAATTTTATATAGCGCGGGGCAGGTACCGCGTTTTGTATAACTTTCCTCGCTATAAATACCATTATCCGCCGGTTAATTTCTCATGTCTCTCCTCTCAACTTATAAATTAATACAACAATTCCGTCAACGAGTCAATAATTCTAGCAATCTTCTCATATTTTATTTAGAAGTTCATGCGATTTTTCGTTATAAGGTAATTTAGTTATAATTTTTTATTATATTTATTGTTTATTATGATTATTTGAAAAAAATATTATACTAATTATTTTTAATTAATTTTTGTGTTTGTAAAATTGAAAAGCGGGAGGATACGTCGAAATAGTTTTGCAGTGCAGGTAATAATATTAAATTATATTATTTAATTTATTTACGTTGATGTGTAAAAATTTTATTGTGTTATATGTTCGTTCATATATAATTTATTAAATCATGTTTGTTTCATTTATTTTTTTTGCAAATATAATAGTGCCGCACTTTTAAACTCAAATAATGTCACGACTTTCAGCTATTGTTGATTATGATGGTGAAATTCGAGAAAGATCTAGACAAGACAGAAGATGTGGGCATTGTAGAAACCCAGGACACATTAGAAAAACATGTCCACTTCTGTTGTCATCAAGTAACAATTGATGAGGAAATGATGTATTTTATTATCAAATAATAATTCTTCAACTTTAATTTGCATTTACTTCAAGTTAATATCATTTGATAATCACCGATGAAGATTAAAAAAACAAACACAATCATTAAATTTTAACAAACTAATAACAATAAGTATTAAATGGTAAATGATAACCAAATTACAATATATGATATTAAATGGTAATAAAAAAAACGAACTGAAATACATTAAAAAAGTTCAACAAATTTAACAAAATAAAGTAAGTATTAAATGAGAAATAATAAAAAAATTACAATTTAACAAAATAAAGTAAATACAAATATAATAAAAAATAAAATCTATCGATGCCTACGACGCGAATGTGTTCCGCAGGGCAGTGGCTGTCGGTCTCGAGGAGGATTTCTTCGTATCACTGGTTCTGACTCCTCGCTCTCATCATCATCACCATCGTCGTCATCGTCGTCGTCTTGCGCAGGTACATGAGGAGCTGATGATGATGAAGCACCTCCGTAGAATAAGGACCCTGGATGTGTATGACTGACTATCCCACCGGCCTGCGAAAACTGAGAAAACTCATAAAACCCAGACATCGCTGAGTGTAAAAACTGTACAGGAGGCGGTGTCTGTGTTGCGGCCATGGGTGATGGGGCTGAACCCGCCAAATATCCAGCATATGAACCCCAAGTCGGGTCTGCAAACATAGACCCATAATAGCCTCTAGGAGGGGTCATCTGTGACGGTGGCGGGGTCATAAAATCGGGTGAAGGCGGCGGCGGCAGTATCTGGTAATGGAAAGGCGATGGCGGCATTATATATGGTTGCGGTGGCTGCTGGGAAGGTCCTGCTGGTGCAGCTGAGGATGAACCGGATGCATCTGCTCTCCGTCAACGAGTCGGGGGACGATGGTGCTGTGTCGGTGAACGTCTCTATCGACGTCGTGGAAAGGTCTGCCCTCGTGCATCCTCGGGAAGTAGAAACAGTTTCCCGTTACTGTTGAATAACTCATAATTATCCTCAGCATACATCAATAGGTCATCAAAAATGGGCTCTCTACGGGGAAGGCGCCGATGTCGATCCTCCCACAACACGACCCACCCATGATGCCTAACCAGCCAATCTGTATCTGTCTTGCCACGTCTGTCTAAGCTATGCAACTCGTCCATATTGCGAGGTGCTTCCGGAATTGGTTGAAAACAACAAAACTGCCGGAGCACGCGATCAGTGGAGTGCCACTCGACGGTCGCATAACAGATCAGAGGGACCATCGCTATCCAAACATCTAATGGACTCCTCAACTCAGGTGGGATCACCGCCCTCACATCATCAGTAGAATATGACACCCATTCAAACTAAAACAAATAATATATAATTTTTATCAAAATAATAATCTAATTATATAACTATAATCTAAAATCGATTTTTAAACATTAAAATTCATACATGTGTGCCAGCCTTCTGATCGATTAGCACCCTAATCTTTTCTAAATCATCAGGTAGCTCCTGATGATTTTTCCTATCAGTAGACCACCTATTCAAGGAAAAAAATTTGTTATACGCTGTATAAAATTATTAATATACAAAATCAGTTTTATAATTACCTCAGAAGTAGTGAAAATACGAATGGGTTCTTCACAATGGGACATAAAAAGGGCAATCGATACAATGCCCAAGACTGCAGCAGCAGGAGACATCCGCCGATAGCATTACGCCTGTAGTCAGTGGCTCCACACATCTCCCTGTACAGCAAAGCCAAAACTACCGAGCCCCAACTGAATGATCCGGTGAGACGAAAGTCGCTAAGATGTCACAACCACATGCAGTGAACTAGGTTGCTCGATTTGTCCGGCATCAGCAACCCTCCTATCAGCTGTAGTATGCATGCCCGTGCATACATCTTAACCTCATCCTCAGAGACGTCTGCGCTCAAATCCCGAAAATTGGCATCTAACCAATTTAACGGTATCCTACCTCCGATAAAATTTTCTGGGACACGTCCTAGACTATCCCGACACAAAGCAGTCCAAGAACCGGAATCTATCCCCGATATCACATATCCATCCACCGGAAGCCCCAGGTGCATAGAAACATCATCAAGCGTGATCGTGCACTCTCCGTACGGAAGATGGAATATGTGGGTCTCCGGTCTCCACCGCTCTACTAAGGCAGAAATCAGGTCTGGCTCTATCTTACAGTGACCCTGATATCTACCTATGTAAACGAATCCAGCCTCTACTAAATACGGCAAGACACGGCTGGGTATCACTAACTTAAGATTCCTAATAAAAGGATCTAATACACGATCCTTCTCCTAAAAATAAATAATTACAAAAATTAATTCTTAATCTAATAATCATGTATTAAATGAATCAACTAATTATTAATAATAATTTAAATTAAATTAAAACGTTAAAATGTTACCGTATCAGCAAAGTGTCGAGATATTTAATTATTAATATAATAATCATGCATTAAATAAATAACTAAATATTACTAATAATTTAAATTAAATTAAAACGTTAAAATGTTACCATATCAGCAAAGTGTAGAGATATATGATTTCCATCCGAGCGAAGTAGACTGCCTTCCATTATATATCTGCAAAAGAATTATATTAGTAAAATATTAAATAAAGTAAAAACATAATAGTAAAAATATTATAAAATATACCTTAAAAAGAGAGTATTTGAGAGAAATTTAGAGAATTTGAGAGAATTTGGTGTGATAAAAGTGATTGAGGATGGGGGTATTTACAGGGAGGATGGGGACGGGAGGGGTCGGTAATTAGGGGTATAGCGCGCCCCTGCACCGTGCTATACCCCACGTGTCAGATATACAGGTATAGCGCGCTTTAGGGGCCGCACTATACCCACGTGGCGCCAGCTCACCGTATAGCGTGGTGCAGGGGGCACGCTATACCCCACGTGACGCCAAATCATCGTATAGCGCGGTGCAGGGGGCGCGCTTTATTGCTAAGGGTGTTAGATCGGGAAATATAGTCTGGCCGGTGTTAGATCGATAATATTACCTGTCACCGGTGATATATCGATAAAATCGCCGTCATTTGTACCAATCTTATTAATGACATTGTAGGGGATGGTAATATTTCTTCGTCAAAGTAGTTGTAGTAATTGGAAATCATCTGTTGAACCATGTGTTTTCTTATGGTTAGTGCTTCCTCACTCTTTATCAAGTATTAAGCATC